TCAGTCGGCATGCACCCGTTCTCAATCATTTTATGTATGTCGATGATAGTCGATTCTTTATTGAATGCAAAGATACTGTGGTGCAAGCCCTTACAAGACTCCTGGAAAACTATACAATCTTCTCAGGTGAAAACATAAATCTACAGAAATATTCTATCCTGATAAGTGAGAATACTCCTCCAGCAATGCAAGAATTATTGATATGAATCTTTATCCGAGGTGTGATTATTGTGGAAACTTGACTTGAAAAGTTGCCCAAATGTTTGAATCTTTGTATAACCACGAATTAAAACCTATGCAAGGACAAAAACCATGAAAAAGAATAGCTGGACCAACAAAAATCCAAGTTAAAAATGTGATGGAAGGAAAGGAAAGATGGAGAATGTGTTTAAGATTTGAAACCCTAGTCAAAACAACCCGAAGCTCCCACACGTCATAGATCAACATTGAAAGGCTTGATGTGCTCAACTAAAATGTCAAATAGAGCATCCAGAGACCAAGAACACTTGAAAACTTGGCCAAGGTTAGCTGCGCTTCAAGAACAAACCCTAGTTTGTAGGAAAAGCAAGTTACTCTCGCAAGAATAAGAAAACAAGGAGAGAGCTCACAAGTTTATGAATAAAATTATTTACTATTGAAGTCATTCACTCAAATCCATGACCAAGACCTCTATTTATAGGCTAAGGAAGGGTCTAGGTCGGCCAAGGAGGAAAAGAAATCCGATTACAACTCATATTCGGATTTCTTGGACTAGAAGTTTCCTAAAACTTAAAAATTAAGAAATAATTTAATAATTGCACAAGTTCACAATTATTTAATATTAAAAGTATCCTAAAAATAAGGGCAAAAACGTGTAAGGGTCGAAAATAATAAGGAAAATTCGAAACCCAACACAAATAGGAAACAAAACCTAGTCTAAAATGGAAAATATAATAAAATATAATTTTTCTTGAATAAACATTTCAATTCTCGTCCACCACCTTGAAAATCCTTCTTGGAATTTGATTTGATAAGTGGAAGGCCAAAAATCTTGTAAAACTTTAAGAAAACTGTTGAAAACCCGTTATTCAGAAATTAGGGTTTTGTGTCGGCTTCGGCGTCGGTCGACAGGAAGGTCGGAATCTCTGTCAACTGTTTTGTTGACTTCCTCCTCTCGGCCACAAAGTTGACGTACCTCCAAAGCTTTTATTCCATCCTAATACAAATACGAAACCCATGGAATTGAATCGACTTTGAGAGATTGAACATCCATGAACAAGTTTTTGAGAGCTTCATTCATTTTCTTTGTTTGAGATCTCGTCATAGGACCTCCAACATTAGCAAGTGCATCTCAAATAACTCTTTGAGCTTGAACTTGATTATACGGTTGAACATTTTGATGCCCTTGAGTTTGATCACCTTGGATGTCCACATCAATTATTACACGCTACACTCCATATTCCAAGAGGAACTTCCACAGTAAATATCTTGGACTCTCTCTGGACTTTAATCAGAATAAAACAACCATCTTCAATGAATTCACCACCAGAATCAGCAATAAGTTTGTAAACTAGAAGACAAGACTACTCTCTTTGCCAGGTAGAGTTACTCTTGCTAAATCTACTTTGTCCTCTATGTTAGTCTATCCAATGAGAATGTTTAAGCTTACAAACTAGACACTAACCAAAGTAGATATGATCATTTGGAATTTTTTTTGGAAAGGAGATATTCAGGATCAGAAAACTCACTGCCGTGCCTGGAATAAAATCACCAAATCTAAATTCCATGGTGGTCTGGGTCTCAAAGTAACCAAGGAATTTAATTAGGCTTTGTTAGCAAAGCATGCCTCGAAGATCATGGTGGAACCTCAATCTCTCCTGACAAAGTTCTTCTGTGGTAAATACTGTTTAAATGGTGTGTTCCCACCATTAGAAGCACCAAGGACTCCTTATTGGGGATTTAGAAGCATATTATGGGGAGCATAATTATTACAAGAAAATATGAGGACAAAATTATCTCTGGAAAAGACATACTTCTATCAGCAAACTGGATTCCGGGGATCCCTAATCTGATTAACACTCAGTCTGTTCTGTAAATAGCAAATTTTAGAGTTAATCGGTTCATCACTCCAACACGCCAATGGGCTTTAAGGAATTTCTTCCCAGATCACATCATCTCCATCATTAATGAAATCTTCATTGATCCAGCGAGGCATAATCAGAAGTATTGTCTGCAATGGATTTATACTGACCATGGCCAATATACAGTTAAAACGGGTTACCAGGTGGCAATCAATTCACTCCTACCACAACCGGCCCTAATCTTGCAATAGCACAGGCTGAGAAACTAGTTTGGAAAAGACTTTGGCATTCTAAAGTTCAACCACAACAGAAGTTCTTATTTAGGAGAGCTTTACTTAATGCTCTGGCTACCCGCAAGGATTTGAGCAAGAGAGGAGAGTACAACTAGATACAACCTCACACGTTATTCCCATGAAGAAGAGGATAGCACACATTTATTTCTCAAATGTGCAACATCACAAGCCATCTGGGCCTTGGCTTTCCCCAGATTTAGTTCTATCTTCAATACTAAATATGAGTCACTCTTCCAGTGGTTCATCGCCTGGTGCGCAACTCATCGATCTAAACAAGAGGTTGATCTTCTCTTGTTAATCATGTGGCGTATTTGGCTAGATAGAAACGATCGAATTTGGAGACACCAGGCTCATGACCCGACAACCACATGGAGTCTAATCCAATTTGATGCTCGCCTTCTTCTTCAACACAATCCTACAGCTTCTACCAATGCAACTATCGGAGGCAGAGTGCAACAGAAAATTGCTAACACTGCTTTGATTATTTTTTATGGCTCCTTTAGTCATCAAACGAGGAAAGCAGCAGGGGCTTGGAAAATTATTTCACCACATGGTATGGTTATGCAACTCAAAACGTTGAGTATTAATGCTCTTACACCGCTACAAACGGAAGCCAAGACATGTCTACTGGCTTTGCAGGAAGCGGCAAACTTTGGCCTGGATAGAATCCAGGTTTTCACGGATAGTGAAGTTCTAATTAATGGTCGCACATCTCCCTTGGTGCAATCGGAATCACGTGAGGTTTTTTTATTATTAGATACTTTAATTTCCTCCTTTGAAAAATGCACACTGACTAAAGTGCGCAGGTGTGACGTTTTGAAGACACATAATTTAGCTTACAACCGCATGAGATGTAATAGTTTAGGGATGTTATCTTCTTACTAGATGGAATTTACGCGTTTTGTGCATACGCATGACATATCACATAGGGAAAAAATTATTATTATTAACTGATATAAAAAGTAAACAACAAAACACAATAAAATATCGATATCACAATCCGAAAATAGGTAAACAATAGGACACAAGCAAATGCTAACATCACAATTCAAAAAATAAAATAAAATATATCTAAAAGTTTCACAAGAAATATATGATACTGATTAAAGAAAAATGATTAGGCAGTCACCTCTAATAGGATCGGGTTGAAGAGAAGTCGTTGAGTATAAAAGGTGAAACTTAAAAGAAAGAAAAGATAAATGTGACAAACTTTTTATTGTTGGGAATTATATACTAACAAAATGAAGAATCAAAACTCTTAGTATTGTTTTTGAGTTATGAAACAATATTTCAAACTATCATTAGTAAAGTCTTAACATTCAAAAAAAGAAGATGAAAAGACAATGATAATTTAAAGAGGTAAAATTAATTGAAACGTTTTATTGACCGATGAAATCCAACTAATAATGAATATTAATTTGTTTATAATTATTAATAAAAGTAAACCAAGGGTTGGAATATTAAAAGGTTACCAATCATAACATTTACAACTTTCATTTTTTTGGATAAAAAGTTTAAAAAAGAAAAAGAAGCCATAAGGCTTAAAGAGATTTATGGGCCTATTAAATTCACTTATTAGTGAATATTAATTTATTTATAATCTTTAAAATAAATAATAATAAAGGAGAACTTATTAAAGAAAGAAGAGTAAAAGTCCGAATATTAATTAAAGGATTACTAATCAATAATGACTTCAAGAAATAGTTGACAAAATAATGTTTATAAAAAATATTTAAAAAAAGAGAATTTAAGAATTTTCTTACTCCATCTTTCTTGCTCCCCGTGTTAGATTAAATTCATGATAATTCTCATCCAATTGGCAAATTATTAATGAAAGGTGGTCATAGATAATCACTTCAAGAAATAGTTAATACTTGAAGGACTACCAAACTGCAACAACATTGTGCAATTATAATATAGTATAATAATAATATAGGTACCCTTTCTTAAAAAAAAACTCATTTTTTTAAGTTGACCATATATATACATATATTGGACAGAGTTAATTTAGTAGTCGTTATTAACTCTGCCCGCCAAACACACTCCAGCTAATCACTCGTCAACATCAACGACCAAAACCAATAATAATAATTCATCTTAAATTTGTTTATTATACTACTTTGATTTCTCTGTGCCATGATCCGCAATAATTCAATCCCATCAACATATCCAATTATAAGAAATATTCTTTATTCCCCAGGCTGTTGGTTTCTTGCCACTCTTCTTCTTCTTCTTCTTCTTCTTCTTCTTCTTCTTCTTAGTTAGTACTAGACTCTACTCAGATTCCTTTTTGAGGTTCATATTTCTTCTTAATTATCATTTTTTTACTTTTAACACATGCACCATAGGAGGGTTCTGTGATGTTTTTAAGTTGCAATATTTGCAGAGTTGCTGGAGTATCCAAACTCCTTCTGATCTTTCATTTTCATATTCTTTGATTATAGTTTGCTAAATTCTGAAGTGATATAAGTGAGTATAAGAATCTTTGGTTGTCCACAAATCATCTTATTGAAAAAAGCTTCACTTCTGTACATTGAATTACAGGGCCAAAGAATTGACCCCTGAAACACATAATTCAACTCTGGCTTTTATGATGATTTTTCTCACAGGACAGAGGCTTCTTTTGGGGTCCAAATATCTGAAATTAATGGATATTTTGGCCAAAAATTTTGTGGCCTTTGTAACAATCTTAGTGATATTGTTGTCAATTATGAGTTCAGTTGGTTGCATAGGAGCGAATTGGGGTACTCAGGCGACCCATCTTTTGCCTCCACAGATGGTTGTGAAGATGCTCAGGGACAATGGGATTCAGAAAGTAAAGCTTTTTGATGCTGATGGAAGAATACTGAATGCTCTCAGTGGGTCTGGGATTGAAGTCATGGTTGGAATTCCTAATGATATGTTGTCTGGTTTAGCCAACAGTGTGGATGCTGCTGAACAATGGGTGGTCAGCAATATTTCTACCTTCATCTCAACCTTAAATGTTGATATCAGGTACTGCTGTTCAACTGCTTCTTAATTTTTCTGCCTTCCTACTGAGTTTTCAGGGGCTGTTTGGTTTTAGTTTATCATTTTTCATTGACATGGAAATGAATCTTTAGTTTGATGGTCTGCGTTTGGTTAAGATTCTGTTTCTTTATTTGCATAAGGGAAGGAATCTGTGAATATGAGACTCTTGGACACTGGATTAACTCATTATCTGAAGTTTTTTCCTGTGAAGTTCTTTCTTCTTGGAACTTCCATTGCAATGTCGCCAATGAAGTCATCTTCTCTTTCCTGCTTAGATGAAAGTCTTCTGTTTTGATCGATCACTAGTAATAATTAATCAATCAAATACACCTGCAGATAGTATAAGATGTTGCAACATTAAAATCGATACTAATAGTGGCAGATAACCGTAGTAACTAGTAAGCCAAATCTTTCAATGTGGCATGATCTGCTGCTGCCTCTCGGATATCTTTGACAATGCATGCACTACTGCCATCTTTATTCCCAAGTTTCATAACTAGGAATAGATGGATATTCGTCTACCTGAGTGAGCTAATTTTGAACCACTTAGTTCACCCAAAAAAAAAAAAAAAAAACCCACTTAAGTTTCTTACCGTACTGTCCCAAGTTTCGCAGCAGTGAAGAGTAGCTGCATTCCTAGTACTATAGTACTATATTTTGTCCTAATTGGTTGGCGATGATTCCTGTCAACTTTGCTAGAAGCAGTCTACTATCTTTAGTATTCTTTATCTACTTTAGTGTAATAAACGTTGGAACAGAAGTACGGAACCATAATGTCCTGAACTTCAACTGCCGGAAATTTGATACATATTCTAAATGTGTATATCCTGTTCTTTTTTTCACGGACTGCTTTCCCAAATTAGACCGCTATGGGGACTAATGTATTTTGACTTTAAGCTGCAAGACTAATTTCTGTTCTTACATAACTTCAGCTTACTTTAATTCTATGCTACACTTTGTTTTGTACTAATATGCTTCCTAGAATGAGCCCAGCTATGCCGTAATGACTTGTACAGATTTCCTAGTCAAAAGTTAGCTTGACTGAATTTAAATTGAATCTTAGTAGGCATATAGATTTTAAAACAACTTGGCATCCAATATATATATGTTCTCTCTAGATGAGACTTCAGTGCAGTCTGTAGTTCTATAGATGAGCTTTAGATTGTTGTCAGACATTTACTACATTGATATGCTTTGTTTCCTTTCACTCATCAGTTGTACGGAGGGTTTTTGTAGATAATCATTGTTTCACGCAACGTTATCTCTATAACAGATTCGCAGTCGACATGAACATTCCATTTTATTATCATTTTATTGTATAGCTTCAGATTTGTGGTTAAGGACAATTAGACCGCATCACTGTTATTTAAAGACTGTAATTTTTGCATTGCATCTACATCCAAAATAGATTGTATCTTTTTAATGCAGAACAGTTATGAGAAACATTCACATCAGTTTCCACACCACATTGTCAAATTTTCATGATCGCGAATCATTTGGGCTATGAATAGATGGAAAACTGAAGTGCATAGCCTTCTTGGTGATTTGAGTGCATTCTCATTCAACCTTCCAACTTGCCTTTGAAAGTATCTCTAGGATTGATAGTATTTTTTTCTGTTGAAGATATGTTGCAGTAGGAAATGAGCCGTTCTTATCCACATACAACGGCACTTACATTGGAACCACCTTCCCGGCTCTGCAGAACATCCAGGCTGCCCTCATTAAGGCCGGACTTGCCAACCGCGTGAAGGTTACCATTCCTCTAAATGCCGATGTGTATCAGAGTGCGACATCTTCTCCCTCGACAGGTGACTTTCGTCCCAACATCCACGACCTCATGGTGCAGATATGTCAATTCTTGAACGACAATGGAGCACCTTTCACCATCAATATCTATCCTTTCATAAGCCTTTACAATGACCCAAACTTTCCAATTGATTATGCCTTCTTTGATGGTTACTCATCACCAATTAATGATAACGGGAGGATCTACGACAATGTATTTGATGCAAATCATGACACGCTTGTCTGGGCCTTACAAAACAATGGAATCACAAACTTATCAATAATCGTTGGAGAAATCGGATGGCCTACTGATGGCGATCGCAATGCAAATCCACTGAATGCTCAAAGGTTCAACCAAGGATTCATGAGGCACATATCTGGTGGAAAGGGTACGCCAATGCGACCAGGTCCTGTAGATGCATACTTGTTCAGTCTGATTGATGAGGATGCAAAATCCATACAGCCTGGTAACTTTGAACGCCACTGGGGATTGTTCAACTATGATGGAACACCAAAGTACAATCTCAGCTTGAACTCAAACTCCGCAGGCTTGATAGGAGCAAGCAATGTTCAACATCTTAGTCGTCGATGGTGCATCATGTCACCCAACGCAAGCGTTGATGATGCTCAAGTGGGTCCTAGTGTGAGTTATGCTTGTTCACACGCAGACTGCTCCAGCCTCGGATATGAAACATCCTGCGGGAATTTAGATGGGAAAGGTAACATTTCCTATGCATTTAACAGTTATTACCAAGAAAATAATCAGCTCCCGATCGCCTGCCAATTTCCGGGTCTTTCCGTAGTTACAACTACTGATCCGTCACAGGGAGACTGTAAATTCAAAATTATGATCCGAACGAGCCCTTTAATTGGAAGCGGGCACAAAAGCAATACCTGGTTTATACAGCATGTCAACCTTATGATCCTTGTTCTGTTCATTCTATTAGGAACGACCCTTTAGAAGTTAAGGGATTTTTCAAAATTTGATCTGCAATATCTATTTGGATTTGCTGTTTCAATCTTTGAAAGTATATGCAAAATCACAGGAAAGATGTTACAGTTCGTCATTATATCAACAAGATGAATCGCTTGAGTCTAGTTCTTGAGTGAAGGAAAATATAAACATATTGTGCGAAAAGTGTAAACATATATATTGAAAAATTGAAATATAATTATTACATCATTTAATCACATTAACACCAGTTGAATAACATTTTCAAGTCAATTGCATCAACAGAAATGAGTTGCAACTGTAAAACAGGAACCGTGCCAGCTTCCCTTCCTCAGGATTTTTAGGTTTAACTGGATCACATTCACTGATGCAAATGTGGGATAGAAGAACTGGTTTTGGAGTGGGATCTCTTCACTAAACTCGGAAAAGGTAAGCTCTCATTCAAGCGTGGTAACGCATAAAAAGTACCTTCCATTCTAAGGGAGAAGTTAGTGAGGGTTTGTAACCTCAAATTATGGATTTGAACTTTCATGGTTGAATTCCAAAAGAAACAAAATGGAAACAAGAACTTGCCATCACAATGATGCATTAAAGAAGCAATACAAAATGTAACCTTTGCTTGATTGCTACTGCAGTTTAGAACAGATTCCGAGCGTCAACTTTGATCTCATATCAGCCTGAAGGGGGGAAAAAAGTGAGTAAAGAATGGGCTCTACTACTGAATACTAATAGACAAGATTTGAGTCATTAATCTGCGTAACAAGAACACAGATTCATCATTACTATTAAAAAACCCTTAAAGAGAGTCTGCTTCTCCATTCATCCACAATGAGGGTGAGAAATTCATTTCTTTTGTCTTTGGATGCAATTCTATTGGTTTTACTGAAAAAAGATTAGCTAGTAAGTCTGCCATCTGATTATAAAATGTCCTGCAAATTATGAATGTACTAAATAATATACATACCTTCTGATTATGAACCAGAATATACTCCTAACAGCTAATTTCCAAACAGAAGATGCAACATCAAAAGAATGTGGATATTTGTTTTCATCATACATTTCATTTACACAGACAACAAAAGAACACGGATACTTGTTTTCATCAATTTTTTCTGTATGTCTTAGCCTCAGATGCAAAAACTATTGTCCTCCTAGTCCGCACGAATAAGTATTTACAATCAAACCTAACTGTTGACTGCTTCTGGTGAATCAGGGTAATTCTTACATTCTATAACTCATAAGGTATGTTTATTAGTGTCAACTGTCAAGGAACATGATAAGGGGCATCTGTCATTTAAGATCCTGAACACTTAAGATATCGACCATTGTAATCATTTCGAAACCAGGATGCACGAAAAATTGCAATGACATCAAGCAGGCTGTATAATCAATCTTGCCAAGAGCTAAACTAGTGAACGCAATTACCTGCCTTGTGGGTTCTGGGATGCGGTATTTGCAAGTCATCTTCACAATGTTGATAGCAGTAGTAAGTGAAATACGGTGACCGACTGAAACGAAAATGGGTTTCAATGTGCCTTGAGATCTCATTGCCTGGATGCAGTTGAAAGATTATATTATTTCTAACTGGGGATAAAATGACACTGACAACCCTCCTTTCATTTTTATCTGAAAACTCAAGACCACTGATCAGAGTACAGTTCCAGTTGTAAGTTGCAGTAATTTTCATAAGTATGGATAACCAAGACATTTTCTGCTAGTACTATCAACAGCTACAGTTATCTTTAGTCAATTAGAGAAATTCCAGACATCCACAGCCAAACAATACGAAGTGAAGAAAAAAGAAGCAACTCAACTGCTATAGTGCCTCAGGATGAATTCAAGTACTGCCATTCACATTATCACGATGACGATAGAAAAACTGATATAGTCTCATTCACAGTGTCAGAACACATTGGACATCAAAATGCAAGTAAACAAGATAGCTGGCTCCAAAAAAGTTCACTGATTAGTAAAACAGGCTTGAACTCTTACCACTCCCAAAGTGCTTCCGGAGTCCCCAGTTAAAGTGAAAATATCTTTATTTGATGTTCCTTGAGCTTCGAGTAGATGTCTTACTTTTTCAGTAGTAAGACCATCAACATGATGCAGCTGGCATGCATTCAACAGCAAAGTCAAAGATGCAAAAGTTAGTAACATTAATTGACATACAAAGTTACAATTGCTCAAGTATTTCGTGCAACTCCAAACAATCTAGCAAAGCTGTCAAAACATCCGTAGCCTAAAGAAGTTTTGAACTTCTATTTGATTTGATAAGTATGTAACAAACAGTATCACTCTTCTATTCTGGTTCATGGTTTCGCTTGGCTATATGGTTCATAGCTCTTGTTCAATCTTAAACAAGTATCTAGTTCCATCGGCGCCAGATAGACAATAGGCACAAACCATTTTCCTTGTCTTTTATGACAAATTTCAAGCACTACGTGATAGAAAGCGCAAACTTGATCTTAACACTTTAACTTCTTACATATTTTAAACGCCAACCATTTCTACACTGAAAAAGCTTGAAGCATTAAAGCAACAAAATGCAATCTCTAGCTCATTCATCACTTGATCAGAAGGTCTATCAAGGTATTTCGCAAATGCTGGCTTTGCTGGGGGTCAGGGGTTGGGCAGGTGCTAGGTGGTAACAAAGAAAAACTGTAAACTTGAGATCCTAGGTTTGAACCTTGGGAGTTCTCATCCCAAAATGTGCTGGTTTCCCTATTCGTTGTGGATTTCAGCAGCAGAGGATTCAATTGCGGTTGTTACTGTTATTAGTTGAAGCTTGAAGAAGATTGGGAGAAAAAAATCTTTCAACATTTGCAACTCCAAAAAAATGTCAAATTAGCTATATCTTTGATTTGTTTGGTCACTCATAATTAGTCCATGTCGTTACTGGAGATTGTAAAGTTGATACCATACATGATCAAGACGTAGATCTGAAAATCATAGATGTCAAAAAGTTATGGATAAGAAAAGGAAGATTTACATCAATGTTTTGCACCCTGCTTAAGGTAAATAAGATTTTAAAATATTTACAGTCAGAAATCAACTAAGAAATTTAGAATGAATTCTTCTCCAGCCCTCATCTATTGCTACATACATGCATGACACAAGTAAAGATACATCTACTAACACACAAATACATACAGCCAACAGTAGAATAATCACAATGATTACAATCCAAATGAGAAAGACATGTGCAAAATGAAGCTTACATTTTTTCCTATCCCAATCGAAGGAATATCACTTAAAACTCCTAGATGACAAGCCAAACCAAAACCTACAAACACTCGGGTTAGTTACCGGTCCCTCTAAAGAACAACATAACCAACAATTTCTAAGGATTTACACCAATCCATCAATAGTTTAATTCCTTCTCATTGGAACACAGAAAGATTGGTAATTTCAAACATCAGCAGAATTACAATCAGCTTAAGTGGACTCTCTATTCATCAGCTAACTTGAAAAAAAAGAAAGAGAAGTTCATTACAATCACGAGGACCCATTTATCTAGATATACTTCATCGTCCACATAAATTGTTTACCCTAAAAAAAAAAAACTATATATGCTTCATTTTAAGCAACTTCATCCTACTAAGAATATTAGCAGTGATGAAGAAATCACTTCAAAGGAATACTAACATACAGGAGAAATGTGGTACATTGGATGATAGCAGTAAAAAAGCGTCTTAGTTGTGAGTCAAATATATCTGCAACCAAACATCCTAATTTAAACTCATACAGAATGCAGGTTACTGGTATTATGCGATCAATAATTAGTAATACAAGTAAAATGATTCATCAGTTGAGAAAGAAATAGACTTGCCTCGAGGGTGAAGTAAGCCGTTCCCATCAACCATCAACAGCTGTTGCACAAATGAGAAATAAAGGTTCTATTGTTACCTCTTCTGATATGAAACAATAGTATCAAATCTTTGGCAAGTTGGTACATATATGGCATTAACAACCAACGAATAGAAGTAAATGTTAAGAGGACAACAGGTGATTACTTGAGGGTAAAATGGGTGTGCACTCTTCTTCATTTTCTCTAATAGCTGTAGAAGTACCGGAGCCTAAATCAAAGGGAACAACAAATAGAAAAACAATTTATCTTCCTGAAGAAACAAAAAAGTAAAATCTTTTTATAGAAAAATGATTGCTGGGAATTGCAATAAACCACCATTCAACAAGTACAGGTGCTTAAGAAATATACTGAATTTTCTCCGAAATAAAAAGAAGAAAAAATATCAGGAAGCGCAAAGCATGAGCCATTCAAGAGACCCAACTAGTAAAGAAGCAAACAAATGAGGGACATTGTTGCCAACCTTAACCACAGGAAAGAGAACATGACAATAGGATCTACCCAAAATTCCTATACCCTCCGAGCGATCCAGATAATGTAGGAGATCATCAAAAGGAGTTGATGACTGTACATCAAAGGCATAAGTAGACATATAGGTTGTACACGCAACAAGCAGTAAACTATCAAACCACCGCACCGACAACAGCAATAAGCATCATGTATTTCTAATGAAATTATACCTAATTTTATGAGTTATCACTACCTTAGCAAATTGAAATTGGCCATGCTAAAACTATCTGAGACGGATGGAGTTTGCAAAACCGTTCCAAATCAAAGTGATAAGTAAAGAACAGACCGAAAAACTGCTCCAAGTAAAGGAAAAAACATCGGATACGAACAGACGGATGAGATTCAAAGCAGGAATTATTCCAAATCAAAACCCAATTCGCAGATTATCACTACCTCTCTGAAAGCAAGGAAACCAGGAACATACGGCACGTCAAGCTTCACAATTAAGGAATCCTCATAGACAACATTGAGGTTGTCGAGGTCCAACACCACAAGGGCACCACATGCAATTGAGGGATCATCCTTTGAGAAGCTCAAGTCAACTCCACCCACATATTTCAATGTTTCCCGGCAATCTTCCTCTGCTTCTTCACCTCCACCGCTTAGTTTCCAATTGAAATCATCTTCTATGATCAGCTTTGTCTTCAGTGAATCCTGAGTTCTAATTTTATGCCCAGGAAAAAAAAATCCGATAAATTGCCCAGAGAGGCAGACATCACCTAGATTGTAGATAGAATTTTACAAGAGTTCGGAGTTTAGATTCATACTTAAGCCATTCGCATTGAAGTTCAGAGGAGCAATTAGGTTTTTGAAGGAGCGGTTTATCTTCCATCATCAAGCACTGAACTTGTCTAAATTCCTCCAGAATTTTGCAGACCCACTTTAAAATTCGAAGTTTATTTCCGTACCATTTTTACCCTTCCTACTTAAAAAAATACTCCCTCCCATCATTATTATAAACTATTTTGATTTGGTCTTAAGTTTAATCTAGAATATTTTTTAAATTAGAAAAAAAACCCTTCAAAATATATTTTTACACTCGTTGTACTCTCTTAATTATGAAATATTTTTAAAGTTTTTATCTTATTTAAAAAGACATCTTATGTAAAATTTATGACGAAATTAAAATGGTTTATAATAAGGACCGGAGAGAGTACACTGTAATTTAACAAAAATCACTCAAACGCAGCCGCCACCACCACCAAGCACCACCGCTATTATCTGATCGTTGGCGATTCCACATTTCCGCCACTGTTTTCATCATCATTGTTCCTCTCTCATTGTTGTAGAGCTCTCCAGACCAAGGGTCCTACAAATTCTGAATGTGTCACGTGTTTTATGTTTTTACCCTTTTTCTTCCCTATCTCAATGTAACTCGAAAGCATTAAAAAAAAAAAGAAAACATCTTAAGGAGAAGATGCTTACTAATATTCATTTCAAGTATATTGAAATTGTCTTTTTTTGGGGGGGGGGGAGGGGGGAGAATTCAACTTGATAATAGAAACAAACTTAGACATAATAACAAGGATTAATCAGAGACTTAATCAAAATGAAGATTGGGGGAAAATATTTGTGCGTTTATTAAAATAAATCCTAGTGTCTATTTATACAAGTGAAATAGGCTCTCTTTCATGAATGCCAAATCAACACAATTAAAACTAAAATAAAAACATATAATCTTAACCCTAAAATCACTAATCTTATCCCCAAAATATATTTAACACAACTTTTAATATACATATTGAACACCAGAATTGCTTAAAGTAATATTCCCTCTGTCCCGCAAAAAAATGATCAATATTGAGTTTAGATATTTGTATTAAAAACTCTATAAATCTCAAAACTCAATATTTAATTTTCTAGGACAAAGGGAGTTCATTTCTAAGAAAGTTTGTGCTAACATGCACTTCTGATTTATAGAGTCAATTCCTTGATTTTCTTATTGACATTATTATTTATATAAACTGTGACATTAAGAGCATATTTCAATTTACAAAATCTGTTTCCAGTTTCAACTGGTTTCTTAAGCTCTCTCGTACCTGCTTCTTGCAATCTTTGCGACCATGCAAAACACCTCCCACAAATGAAAAGTGAAGATTTCGAGTTGACAAATCAATGATGATCTAAACCTAGAACCCGACAAAATAAGGGTTCACTAGGAAGGAACAATGATACATTATTGTTCAATTACTCTCTCTGTCTCAAAATTATTGTTCAGTTTGAATTTTCACTTTCAATTTAAACTTGAAATGAAAATCCAAACAAAAAAATCATTTTGAGATTGCAAGAGTATTAAGTTTTAAATTGATTTCAACTAAAAAAACGATGTAATTTTCTTTTGGAGGGAAAATTTTCTATGAGAGTGTGACACCTCATCACCTTTTTTTTTTCTCTTGGACTTCTGTTTTAATAGAGTAACTAGTGACTCAGCCCGGGAGGATGCCCGGGCACTGGTATTAACATGTCTTTTAATTAAAATAATGATTATTGTGTGGAACATGCATAGTTATAGCCTTAATTTGAGGAATTTCGTTCATTTGAATTTTGAAATAAATGCAACATTAAGTCTGCAGTTAATGCTTGGGTAAGAATATATTATATACAATATTTTAGGGATTACTAAAAATTTATTTTAATTTTCTTTTCTTGAATTTTAAGACCTAAACCATCCTAGTAACTTTGTGATTTAGGCGGGAAAATATTGTAAGAGCAGCTGCCACGTGTCTTTAGTGGCAGCTGCTTTTAAGAGGTAAAAAAGGGTATATTGATTCCATCCAAACCTTGTTCCCTCATGATATTCTCATATAGAATCCGAGAATCAGCATACTATGGATCCTCACCCAACCTCTTGCACAAAATAGTGATGATTCCACCTCTTTCACTCATCCCACTATGTTCAGCATTGTTATTACAGCCTCCTCATCATGGTACTCCAGAGGGACACCGTTCATCCTCACCCACATCAATACCTGCATGACCCTCATGCGTCTGAAAAACATATCTAGCCTCCATCGAGCATGGCTCCCGTAATTGCATAAGGCCCATTATGAAGGATGGTATATGAGTGGCTTGGGACGGAAACTGGAAAATGTAGAAGCTTCCTTCTCTTCTTACAACGCAGACATCCGACCCCCAATAGTCATTCACATAAGAGTGTATAGTATTAAGGCTGGTAATACGATAATCAAGCAGGTATTGATGTGGGTGAGGATGTGCAGGTATTAATACGATAATCCAACTAAATAGTTTTCAAACCTCAAAATAGCCCTCTGTTATCTGCTGTGACAAAGACATTACGTACGACTCCTCTCCTAAATGGAGTACTTCTATTCAAGTTTATGTCTCTCCCATGTGGTCCTTCCCTCCGCTCCTATGAGAATTTAGATCCCCTTGGTGAGACAGAATCTGAGAAGTGGCCCTCCAAAAATCTGGGACATATTCACTATTATTGCGATCGTAGACAGTGAGCTTAGGTTCGACATGTCTGTTTTCACGTATATAAGACATTTTTATTTATCCTAAATTTAACCTAGTACGTATTTTTAATTGGTAAAAAAATCTTTAAAATATTTCATAAAAATTAAGAGAATACAAGGAATGTGAAAATATATTTTAAGATTTTTTCGTTAATTAAAAACACATATTATGTGAAATCTAAGACAAATTTAAAATGCCTTATATTAAGGACCGTAGGGAGTAATATAAGAGAATTAAAACTGTTGTAGGAAATAAGTAGAAAATGGTACAGGAATGTTGGAAAGTGTTCTGGAAATGTTTAGATTCACTTTATGAGAAAAGGATGGTTCATATGAGAAAAGGATAGTTGCTAAAGGAAGTTTTATTTTACTGGAAAATGAAACAGAATTTGGGGAGAATGGATAAAAACTGGATGGCTAAGGTGACAAAAGAACGGATAAAGTAAGGGAAAATGGCATGCTCGTCTAATTATTACTAGCTGTAGTAAAACAGTAGCTAAGATTCATTGCAACTTTAGTGAATACTATTGACATTTAGGCCAAAAACGGTAGTAGGATAGTAACGGAAGCAATAAAGACACACTAAAAAACGGCTACTTCCTTTTCTAGAGAGAAAAGCTCTCAAACTTAGAGAGAGGAGCTCTTTCTTTTCACTATTATAAAATGCGGTTACACAAAAACTTACAGAATCCATATCATTTTAGGATATCGACTTTCCTGTTCATCTTTTTTTTCTAAATTTTTAATTTATTTTGGCCATGTCTTAATGATTTTTTTGATAAACTTCACCACAAAACGTTTACATGCATCCTTTTCAGTTACACTTCCTTGCTTATCAAGCTATTACTCCTTGCTTCCTCATATACTCTACCTCATTACAAGTTAACCTTTTCTTCTCTTGTTGCAATTTAATTAGGATTCCTCTGTGCATTATCCCTCCATTCTCTTATGGTGATACTTCCCTTCCAGTAAACCGTCCCACATTCCTTTCTCTCCATGTGAATTATATCAATGCATTGACACTAGCAAAGAGGATTTTCTGCTTGATACTAGAGTGCTTCCATATTCTCAACATTCTGCCTGCATTTAGCTCATTTATATTTGTATGCAAACCTATCCAGCCTTGTTCTTCTGCCACATTTCAAGAGTATAATCACATTGCAGAAACGAGTGTTTTGTTGTCTCCTTTTTCTTTCTGCAGAGGACACATGTCTCATCATTCACCTGAACATTCATCTCCATTAGTATTTCTATGGTCAGTAACCTCTTTTCCAAGCAAGCTAACTGATCACATTATGCTTTGGCACCCAACCATGTGATCTTAGCTGGTCTCCATTTGACTATTCCTCCTCTCAGTAATTTGTAACCAGTCTGTGTAGTATAAGGGTTTCCCCCATTATGGATCCACTGATTATTCATCATGCCTGCTTTAGGTTCTTCCTTTATCTTATTCACCTTCTTCCAATGCCAACTGCTATCAATGGATGCCTTATAACTCCATCAAATTCTTTTTGTTTATCTAGTATACATCTAACTATTTCAGCCAGAGACTTTCTTTGCTTGGCAATGTTCAACCCTCCTTCTATTCTTTTCATGCATATTGCATCCCATGCCGCCAAGGACCATGCCTTCCCATTCTCCTTTTTACCCCAAATAAAGTCTCTGCAACATGCCACTATTTTCGGAAGTATAGCTTGTGCTATCAGAAAAATATTGGACCATTATGAATTTAGAAGAAGGAGTACACTATTTACTAGTGTAATTCTACCAGCATAGGATAAGTATCTAGTGGACCAACACTTTATTCTTGTTGTGATCTTCTCCACCACGATTTAACAGTCATCTTTTGTCCATGATGTAGGAGAGATTGGCATCCCTAGGTATTTCATTAGAAATTTTCCATTATAAAAACCCATAATAGTCTACATTTCCCTCTGATTCCCTTGGTCTTGCCCTCCAAAATAAATTTTGGACTTCCAAGTATTAATTCTGAGACCTATGGTACCACCAAAATGCTCAAAGACAGATTTAATATTCCTTACTATTTTCACTTCAGCTCTACTAAATATGAGACAGTCATCTGCAAAGCTCAGTGATACAATTCCCAGTTTATCACAATGAGGATGCAATTTGAACTCCTTCTTCCCTCCTTCCATTTTGAATTGTCTTGTTAAGTATTCCATCACCATGACAAATAACAGTGGAGACATGGGATCTCCTTGTCTAAGACTGCTTCTACCTGGAAAAAACCACACACTAGTGCCATTTAGATTTAAGGAATAGCTACAAGTTGACACACATAACATAATCCAGTTTATAAATTTCAGAGGGAATCCAAAACCTTCCAACATTTCCT